CTGTTCGTATCACTAGGGATCCTGAAATCTGGGGCACCACTTAGCTTCTCTTGTGGAGTGACACTGTAAAGGGTGGCCACTGGAAATAGCACAATTTGAAAATGGAAGCGATCATCTTTTAAGGAAAAAAATTAAAGTGGTTTTATTTTTGTTTTAAAGTTTAAATTCTGAAGTATTTTATACACTTAGTTCTGAACTTTATTTTAAAGATTCTTTTAGCTTGAGAGTCATGATATATAGGTCAGATTTTTCTTTTTAGGAGGATAAACCAGCTCTGAAATCAGAATTAGAGTAACCAAGCATTCACCTGCATATTAAAATAACTAATAGTACAGTATTAAGATGGCTACATCGTATAGAACAGAATATATAATACTATGTAATTATACTGTAATATCAGAAATAAGTGCAATCACTTTCCTGAAACATAGAATCATAGAATCATAGAATCATTATGGTTGGAAGAGACCTCAAAGATCATCAAGTACAACCGTAAAACATAAGGTAGCCTTAACTATTTTGAAACTACTTTCAGAAGAGAAGTCAGTAATGTTACTGATATTCAAATCCATTTTACAAATCCTTGGAAAGAAGCAGCTATAAGATTATAGTAGTTGAAAATGTAAAGTCCCAGGAGAATCGAGCCCATCATTCTGTTAGGCATTTACACAATTAACAAGGATGTGATGCTGGGATAGAAAAAAAAAGGTGTAATTTATGTCAGCTAAAGATACGGTCACAGGTGTTTGACATTTCTACCCTTTCTTCACGGTACAGTAGCTTCAAAAATCCCCCCCTTAACTTTCTCCAATTACTGTAATTACATAGTGGATTCCCTGTAGCAATTTGTTAAATGGATTGAGATGTGAGTAATATTCACTAGCCTCCTTTGAAGATATCCTGGATGTATTTAAGCCCCATTACACTAAATTACCGCTAGTATATCCACTTGTAGGATCAAATCAATATTAAAAATTGTAACAAATTGAGTTTTACAGGAAGGGTGCCAGTTATAAATCCAGCCTTCATAGAGCGAACTAAGACAATTTCATTTTCAATCACATGTTTATAGCAGCTGGACTGAAATAGTTTCCTCTTTACCCAAAACATACCCATCTCAGACGTTCAAGATGTCAAAGCCTAAAGCCTCCAAATCAGTAAGAATGACTTCTTTGTAGTGAAAAGAAGAATGGGTGATACAACTTTTATGTTTTATGCTGCTGTAGAGGTAGGGCTAAGGCACTGAAGAAGAAACAGGTTTCATACCTCCTTTTCTAGTCTCAGGTGGTGTAGGACGTAGCGGAAAGCTGCTGCATTACCTGCATTACCCATCACTGTCATGTGTATTTGTAACAAATAAGCCAAGTTTGGACACGATGCATGAAAACTTCTTTAGAGGACTTCTTTCCATAAAGAAACCAGACAGTTTCCTAAGGCTATACCTAGGCAGCAGCAGAATATCCATAGCACCACTATTGCTTTGGCTGCGCTAAAGCTCTGGCAAGCCCTTATGGCTGCTACTGCTGTTGCTGTCACTGGCTAAGGTTTAGCAGAGCAACAACAAGAACAATGGGTGCTTGCCAGAGAAAAAGCTGTCCATAGCTCTTTCCTGAGCTCATGGAGCTAGAAACGCTCTAGGCCAAGGCTCTCACCTTTGGAATGGCAAAACTCAGTTTTACCTATGTTATTGGGAAGTCCTGAGCTGTCTCTGCTTCCATTTTTATGCAATTGAGAGAAAAATGTTTAAATGAGTTCTATTTATTGAAAACTGACCTACATAGGATTGACGTAAATTCTATTGCCTTACATCTTAATATGCCTAACTCCTTAAACCATTAGTTTATAAAGAAGCAGATGAAGCAAATTAGCCAGCTTTTAAACTGTTCCTTTAAATGTGAATAACAAACATTTTCCTAATTATTTTACTGGTATAAAGTGAAAGATATCTACTCAGAAAACAAGCAAGAGGGTCCACTATTCAAACAGCTCAAGAAGATGTTGTTTTCTTTCATAAACTAAGCTTTTTTGTAAGTAAATTGGTATTCATGCTTACCTTAGTTGCAACAGCATCTAAATCTGAGTAGTCTACTTAGAACATTATGAGTCTAAATAGAAAAGGTAACTGTAAGTAAGGAAACATCTTCAGCCATTTTGTCCTCAGGAAAGGAAGACAGCTGGGGCATTTCTAGTCATGGATGATTTTCAACATCAGAGCCAATGCATAAGTGTTAGACTAATCCTTTCTTAATGACAAATTATTTGGCGTATCTGATTACCTTTACTGACAGAATTAGTATTATACATAAGCAGGGATCGTAATGAAACACATTGGGACTGATCCTGTAGGCTAATGGAGCAAGAGACACCCAGAGTAGTTATAGTTTTGTGCCAAAGAAGTATAAGGCCAAGCCTACAGCACACATAAAGTTAAGTGGACAAAGAACCCCCCCTTTAAAAGCAAAATTTATCATATGTGCAGTGTATATTTCTCAATGAGGTACCAATACCAGTAGGAATTTCTGAGTCCACCAGCTTAACAATTGCATTCTGGCTTTCATTGAATCCTTATCAGTGATTCCAAGAAGCAATGCCTTGGTAGCCCAGCGTGATGCAAAAATCCATATAACTTGCTCAGAACATGACCTGTTATTTG